TTTTAGTCACGAAGTGGGCCGGTGAGATTATAGTTCCCTTTGCCGCGGGTTCAATAAGCCTTTGTTTTAGCAACGGCGGAATGACCTCCTTCGCCACCTGAACCAGTCGTTCATTTAATGGCCGTATGGGCTGCCGCGGTACTTCGCGCGATAATTCGAGGTGCACCGGCTGCACATCCGCGACCCTATACGAGCAGTTTTGGTTCAGAGCCTCCTGAAGTCGTGTCACCTCGTGTGGATACCAGGCTGCATTGTCGCGGAGGTCCACGTGATATACCTCCAAAAGGGGTACCTCGCGCCCTCCAATAGCCTTCACCGTCCGCCGTGGCAAGCTTATATCCAGATCAAGCCTGATTTGGTCTTCGTACCCCACCAGAACCCTGTTCAATCCTGGCAGCACGTGGAAAGTCACCGGTTCTTGCCTGCCGCCTACATCCACCAACAGATCCAGCTTCCGATCCAGCTGTCGTTCGCCGCCCACTCCATACACGTCCTGGGTGGATGGCTCTATCACGTCGGCGAACTCGTCCGCAATCTGTTCGGAAATCAAGCTAACCTCTGCTCCTCCATCCAGAGTGAGTTCGATTTCCCGAATCGTGGGATCCCCCAGACGACCTATTCCACCACGAATGGTCTGCACTCGTCCTTTTCTAGTCGCGGCCATTCCCACAAAGGACCTTCCAGATTCCGGCACCATTTCTACCTCTGTTATCCGGTTTGTAGGTTGAAGTCGCTTGTTAAAGTAGTTGTAACCAGCGGCCATCTCGTCCCGATCCGTCAACTTCGTCTTGAACCCAAGGTTGAAACCGGTCCGAGTAGGCTTCAGTTCCGCGTCCAAGGCCTTCATGGACCCCCGTAGCTTTGTCCGTATGCAGGCCGTTTCCGTGTGTCCTCTTTTCCCGCAGGACTCACACGTGGCATCCTTGTCCGGGCATGCCGCCCTTTTGTGCCCCAGTTTCCCACACGAATGGCACGCTCCTCGTGGCAGCGGGTCTGGTTGAAGCACTGGATACGCTACTGCTGTTGGCTTAGTATCCGCGAGATAGTGGATACTAAAGGCCTGCGAGAGCAGTGGCGCCAACGTAAATTGTTGTACTTGTATCTTGTGTAGAAGGAATACTCTGATAGGCTCGGGCAGGCGAGCGAAACACCAGCTCGTCCAGACATCAGTTCCTAGTGCCAGGGGAGCCTGATCGGCAATCGTCAGAACGAAAACCTTAAAAAAGGTTCTCTTTAGCATGCTCCTGAATTCAGCCCATGTCCGCGCCTGTCTCTCTTGGAATATTGTTGTCAGCACCGAATTCCGGATCTCCATGAGTCTGCCACTAGCTCGGAGCAATTCCGCCAAGATCATTTGCAGGCTGCCTCTGTTCCTGCAAGCATTTAGCAAACTCCGAGTAGTGTCCGGCAATCTCGGCCCCAACCAATCACGAAACATGGCAAACGTTATCTGTCTACCACTAAGCTGTTCGAAAATTTGTATCCCCCAATCCAACAAATCCATGGGATCGTCTGAATTTAGCAGAGCCGTCGAGATTGACTCCTGCCATCGGGCCACGGATTTGTACTCGTTGGCCGTCCCAAATTCGAAGTCCAAGGCGCCCAGCGCGTCCCAAAGGGGTTCCAGCCCCAGCCCTCCGAGCGCCAGGTCCGCCCGGTCCCCTTGGCTTTCGAACGGGAGTTCTGCGTTGTTTCCCAGGCGTCGTCCACCAGTTGATAAGTTTCTTTCTGTTTGAGTCCCTCCCGCGAGAGCACCGTCTCGGTGGGTTGTTGAGAAGTTGTCCTCCTCCCTGAGAACAGCTTCTCTTGCACTTGACTCAAAGAGGTCAGAAGTGGGATTCATCTTTCCTTAAAAATATTGTGCGCGTGTTTGTGCACACACTTTTTGTGCGCAGCGTAAGTCACCCAAATCGCCTCTCGGCTCCCGGCCTCAGAAACTCACCGATCAAGCTATTACGTGACGTCGGGGACTACTTCTTATTTAACTACCTCACC